CTGAGCCGCCCGCAAGTGCTGAGCAGGGGCCCTGTCTGTCCCGGTGTCCGCACAATGACAGTGACCCCGCGGCCCCCGGGACAGCCGGCTCGGCACTCCGCGGACCGGGGTGTGGGGTGTTCCCCCGAAAGGGGCAGCCCGAGCCCCTTCCGGAGGCCACCAGGGGAAGCTGGCGAGGTTTCGCACACGGACCCGCAGCCGCGGCCGGTGGCGGTTCCGGAGGGGTTCTAATCGGGGCTGGGGGCACTTGACACCTGCTGCGCTTCTCGCAGGGGCTCTGCGAGCCGGCCCTGAGGGCTCGACGTCGGGCGCCCTTGGGACGCGCAGGCGGGGGCGCACGGGAGGTGCACCTCACATTCGGGCAACAGCTGCCCCGGTGGCTGGCAGGGCGCCACCGCCCTGGGAGAGTGGCGTTGCCAGGCAGAACGTCGCTCACCCCCTCGCACTCGGCGTGCGGGTAGGCCTCGCGCCCGCCCAGAGGCCCCCACCCGCCAAATGGTCGGTTTCCCCAGCGCCGGCGACTCCCGCAAGGAACGACTTCGTTACCTCTCTGCGCGGAGGCGAGCGACGATGTAAAGAGCCGCGCAGCGACCGTGCTGCAAGTACAAGCGCCGCAGCCGGACATCTCCGCGGGGCCTAGACCCGGGCTTCGCCCCTCCTGCCCTCTGAGTTTCAGGCCCGGAGCCTACGCGCAGGTCGGGCCGCTAGGACCCCGGGCCCTCCCGGCGGCCCTGGACCAGTGTGGAGTTCACCCGCTCGGCAGCCAGTACGTTGTCCTCTTCGTGTCCCGCCGCCGTCCACTTACGAGAGTAGACACCGAGCCCCCTCCCTCCCCCTTCTCCCCCCCACCCCCCGCCCGTCGGCCCCGGGAGCGTGCGCGCGCCTGCGTCCTAGGCCCGGGAGGGGGCGTGAGGACGCACCGCGCGTGCGTGAAGGGAAGGGGGCGGTGACCTGGGCGCCAATGAGCACGCGACGGCGGGCTGTTTGGCCCAACTGGAGGGACTACAGATCCCGAAGCGCAATTCTTCCGGAAGCTCTTTTACCCTCGGGGTTGAAAGGTGAGCGTTCGCCGACGGAGTACGGCGTGTTGGGAGGGGCATTCCAGCACGGCTGGCTATTTCTCTGTTGGTGGCATGGTAGCTGAGGCCGGTATTTTGACTGGTCCCCGAATTAGTCTTTAACGTAACTCGACTTTCCCTATGATTCTTATCCCTAGTTTGCTAACCTGTAACAGGGAAATCTTATTTTTGCCTGGGTTTCTTGAGTTGCATATGAATATCAAAATGCAAAGACTATTGGTGACAGCGCCTCTTTACTCTTGAACGTAGTGTATTCAGCTGTTGCAAGTCCCCAAATACTTTCTGGTCTTTTTTTCAGTTACCTCAAAGTCCACCATCATGATTTCAACTCAGAGTGGCCCTATATAAGGTTTCTGAAAGACTAAATTTTTACGGCAGCAAACTGCCTCATCTCTCACCATAGGATTGACTGGTGGGTTTGAACTGCCAACTCCGCAGTTATTAGCCTAATGCTTAGATGACCACACCTTGCTAAATAGTCCCATAAGCCCTCTTCAACTACCCTTTGAGGCCTCCTTTCAGCATGGCAGAAGCAGGCTGACTAGCTGTACGTGGTGGAGAATGGTCAGCAATCAGACCTTACTCCCATCTGTGTAGGAGCCAGACCCTGTATAAGCTTCTGCTCACCTCTGGACTTACAGATGAGGAGAAATTGCCAGGAGAGTTGAGTGCCTTTGATTCTGAAAAATAAAGGGGAGATAAACCGGAGTAAAGGCTAAGCCACATAAGTAGATGTTTGCTCATCACTCTCAGGCCAAAGAAACCTGACCTTAGCTTGGTCTGGCTGTGGAAAGGGGCATTGGCCTTGACCCAGACCACACATTTTTGTGTATTTTTCTGGTTTTGTTTGTTTTGGCTTTTGTCCTGTTTGTTTTTCTCTCAGCTGAGTGGTGGTACTCCCCAGCTTAAAGTGGCAGAGACCAGAAGGGAGTCCAGGTCATATGGTTAGGTCTCTCTCGGGAGAAATGTACCTCGGTCCTTGGCTTCCCGCGAGAAAGAATTCACACCGAAGCCTGGTTTGTGATCCAAGTGAGTTTTATAAAGGCTAGAATCCGTTTCAGGCAGTAAATGGAACACATGCCAGACAAGAGTCTGAGGCATGGTTGCGCAAGACTGTGGCCCGACCACCCTGGGTTGTGCAGCCCGGCCTCACCAAACTATGTGGCAGCCGCTGGGAGAGAGTGGTCTCCAAGTGTCTGGCTTTTCAGGGCCACCCCATTGGGAGGCATGGTCGACGATATTATTTAACTCCATTGGCTGAATTAAGCCCACCTGGCCTGGATGGGGTCCCACCCAGGTGTACCACCCCTTCCTGGCTTTCTTACTCATTATTTGTATTTGGGTCTTTATATTATTATTTTATCCTTAACTCCTTATTTCAATTTTGTTTTTTATTGTTTCTGTTGGGTTTCCCAGTTTATGATGCACAGAAGGCATGGATGGGTAGATATTAACTGATGCCAGGGTTGATAGGGAATGCAGGGGCAGGGGGAGGGAGTGATAGGGAGGGAAAGTAGATTTCAGGAGTCATGAAGGCAAGAGAAGGGAGGGAACTGTGATTGCACAAATAACTTTAAAGACAATTTAACTAGAGAGGGGGATGTTCTCAAATTGATATGGTTATGATTGCACACTTTTCCTTGACATCATTGAATGATTGAATTGTATGATATGTAAATTATGTGCCAATAAAACTTACCAAAAAATTAATGGAAAGATGGAATTTTCCCATGAACTCTTTGAAGCCCCATATTATTTGTGTACTGGTGTTTGTGTGTACCCAATTAGACTATAAGTTCTTTGAATACAGGTCCCTTAAGATACATGTGGGCTGAATCCATATAGAGATTGAGTAAATACTTAAGTACTTATCTCCAAATAGTGTTTTTCCTTGGGAGGTGGTGTGGTAGTTACATAATTTCATGTCAACTTGATAAATAGAATGTAGGGATGGAGTCTAGCCTGTCACTCAGGTCACAAGGTAACACCTCCCAGGAGGACACAGGGACCGTCCTCTTTCTCCTGGGAGGAAGACCACACTCTCTCTGCTTCACCTTCTGTTGACAGACACATGAAGCCGTGCTGATGGCACCCAGAGGCCTGGAGCTGGTGGAGACCCCCACCAGGGCTCATAGGCTTCCACCGCCACTGAATCCACCACTGGCCTGTAATCTTCCTGCATTCAGCATGATTGAATTTGCTCTGCAAATCTAAAGAGGAATGTATGGACTAGTATCGGAGATATGGGCTAATATATTGGACGTATGGACTAGATCTGGACTGGACTGGGGTGTTTTCTCAATATGCAATTGTTCTGTGATATGAAGCTCTCTCTTACACACATAGGAGTGTCCCTGGATTTGTTTCTCCAGTCAACCCAGACTAACACAGGTGGTGTTTTTATAATCCTACATATAAGTAGAACAAGTTTCAATTAACAAAGAGGTGAGTGTTAATAAACACAAATTCTATGAAGGTAAACAGTGATTTGTCCCCGAAGGAATTCCCAGGGATGTCATATTATTGTAGACTTTGCCCTAGAAAGTATGAAACAGGAGCTAGCTGTTCATAGCTGAGTTTAGCTTTTTTTTCAACAGGGTCAAGAGTCATGTGGTTGGGGCATCAGGCCAGTGAGAGTTTCATCACATAAGCAATACTAATTTGGTAATTCTAACACATCACCCCAGAACTCTGCAGGTGAAGCTACTCCTGGATCATTGGGTTTAGTTCAGGGTACCACCCTCAAAAAGAGTGGTTAAATTGGAATGTGTTTAGACAAGCTTTTTAAAAGTCATAGATCCAGAGCAATGTGAAGAAGAGGCAAGGACAACTCCCCGATCAACCAAAGTCATCGCGCTGCCGGCGCTACTGCCACCGCCACCATGCCCAAGAGAAAGACTGAAGGGGATGCCAAGGGAGATAAAGCCGAGGTAAAGGGTGATACTAAAAGGAGATCAGCAATGTTATCTGCTAAACCTGCTCCTCCCAAACCTGGACCTAAGCCTGAAAAGGCCCCTGTAAAGATGGGAGAGAAGGTACCCAAAGGGGGAAAGGGGACAGCTGATGCTGCAAGGATGGGAACAACCCTACAGAAAATGGAGATGCCAACGCAGACCAGGCACAGAGAGCGAAGGTGCTGGGGATGCCAGGTGAAGTGTGTGCATCATTGTGTACTTTTGGTGACTACAGTTTGAAATACCATTTTTTGTCAAGGTTTATAAAGCAGGATTTTGTTTTACCTTTTTTTTTTTAATGCTATGTTAGCACACAGACCACTTCATAGTTTTACAGGGAAGGGGCAAATGTCACTAATAGGGTATCTCCAAAGCTAGATTGGCGTGAAGACAGCACCTTGCCCTTTTAGTTTTGAGAGACTCTCCTTGGTTCCCAGGAAGAAGGGTTCCTTGATGTTTCTACATCATCCCCACCTTGGTAAAACACCTTGTGATAGGTAAAAAGTAAAATTTGTTTTTACATCCTCGTACCCTGTCTCCCTCTCTGTCTGCTGCATAGACTTGACTCCCACAAATCCAGACACCTGTTGGGACCTGACCTCAACACATTGGTGGCTAGTATAGCAGGCAGTCTGGCGTCCCTGCAAAGAGCTGCGGCCCCTTTTCCCCAGATTGTGGCTGTTCACATTGGTAATTGTGCCGCATTCCTTTCATTTTCTCAAAGTCAGTGTTGGCTTGTGAAAAGTTGTTAAAACCACGTGCTACATGTGAAATGTCAACCCGCACCCTAACCCTCCCTGTTCAGAGCATCAGATGAAGGCTTCCTTGGGTTTTATAGTGGCTTTCTGATTTGCATAGTCTATTGAAGAAGGGGGTTTGAAAGTTGTTGTATACTGTTAACAATTGTCCACCCATTCCCATGATTCTTCATGAAGTGTATCTTTAATAAAGTTGGATACAATTGGGGAAAATAATTAAAAATTAAAAGGTAAAATCCATGTTCTGTGAAAAGTCATATAGTAATTTAAAATTTAAACCCCATTCAGTTAAATATTACAGATTGTTTATTTAAAATAATATCAACTCAAGATCATGAGGGGAAAAATAAGATACACATATACTATAAAAACCTCTGCTAAATGAAAATCTATTCAACAAGCATGGATTGGAATACTAACTTTGTGCTAGCCTCTATGATGGTGTAAACCTTATACGAAAAACCAAACTCACTGCCATCGAGTCAGTTCTGACTACAGCGACTGTAGGACAGGGTAGAACTGCCTTTGTGGGTTTCCGAGACTGCAACTCTTTTTTCAATCATTTTACTGGGAGCTCTTACAGATATTATGACATTCCCTAGTTCAATCGCATCAAACAGTGGTGTACAATTGCTACCACAATCAATTGGAAAACATTTTCTTTCTTCTTAAATTCCTGCGAGACTGAAACTCTTTACAGGAGCAGAGAGCAGAAAGCCTCCTCTTTCTCCTGTTGATCACCTGGTATTTTCACACTGCTGACCTTGCAATTAGCAGCCAGTGTGTAACCACTACACCACCACCAGGGCTCCTTGTAAACCTTACAGTGATCTTCAAGCTGGGGAACTTGTACCAATGGGATTATACCAAATCTTCAAGCATAAATGGAGGTCAAGTTGAAAAGAAATAGCATATGAGTTGGGAAAGGTTCAAATATAAAGGAATTTTTGTTAGGAACCTTTCAGCTGTTTGACAAAGAAGCATGATCTATTTTACAAATGT